ATCATGTAATCTTTGACAAAAGATTAAATGTAAAATTCTGGTCCTCCTGAAGACTACAAAGACTAAGGGTGTAGCACAAGTACAATACAGCTCTGAGGTCTAAAAAAGAAGTAATCTATCAAGAAGCCGACTTCTTAGAGGTATGTTGTCCTTATACATACTCTTGCTGTGGGTGTGTATGCACTGCAGGTGCTCACATGTATAGACTTTTTTGTGTTAGCAATATCTGTACAACAAGGCCTAGCACAGACCTGCCCATGCTCCGCAATACGGGGAAAAAGGCATTGCATGCTCCCTGACCACGTCTCCACTCAACCCCAGAGTTCCAAGAAATGTTGGACTCGGTGGATGAGGGATCAGAAACTGGGACGTGTAGATGGAGAATACATATTGAATATATCAAGATATTGGTTAGTAACTTCTCCGTCTTCTTCAGGTGCTTGACCATTTGCACATTCTAACTGTGTAACTCTAAATACTCCCACATACCTAAGGCTGAGGAGGCCTAATAATCCCCGGCAAAGGAGGTCTTGTTACACGGTAATTTTAGGCAGTTTCTGGAGCTTTTAGAAGGTGCTAACGTGCAGCTAATCGAGGAGTTAAGAGGCTTAAAGCACTCGTTATTCAGTTTGAAGTTACACCACTGCAGGGCAATTATCTCTTATCCACCTAATTTTGCTCCTGTCCCATTAAGGTGTGGCCACTCCAAACAGCTATTCTGCCCAAGCTCAGGTCCTCCAGCATCCCATAATACAGTGGTCCCTCTGGAGTCAGGGCAAGAAGGAAGGCTGGGGAGCAACAGGGTCAGACACAGCACTAACTAAATCCTTGGATGATGGTGTCGCTGTGGACAGTCTTTCTAGACTTTAAGAAGGCCTTTGACACTGTCTCTCACCCCATCCTCATCAATAAATTAAGCAACTGCAGCACTGATGCCTGCACAGTTGGATAGGTAAAAAATTGGCTGATGGGGCGCACCCAGAGACTAGTGGTGGACGGGGTGTACTCAACCTGGCGAGATGTGAATAGTGGGGTACCCCAGGGCTCAGTCCTTGGGCCTGCACTGTTTAACATCTTCATCAGCGACTTGGACGAGGGGGTGGAAAGCACGCTGTCCAAGTTTGCTGATGACACTAAGATGTGGAGCGAGGTGGACACACTTGAAGGGAGAGAGAGGCTGCAACTAGGTTTAGACAGACTACAAAAGTGGGAAGATGAGAATAGGATGGGGTTCAACGTAGACAAATGCAGGGTGCTGCACCTTAGGAGAAGGAATCCACAGCATACATACAGGCTGGGGAGTTCTCTTCTTGAAAGCACAGAGGTGGAAAGGGATCTTGGAGTCATTATTGACTCCAAGATGAACATGAGCCGCTAATGCCAGGCCGCAGCCAGCAAGGCCAGTCATACCTTGCCATGCATCCAAAGGTGCATCTCAAGCCGGTCCAGAGAGGTGATACTCCCCCATTATGCGACTTTGGTCAGGCCGCAGTTGGAGTACTGCATCCAGTACTGGGTGCCACTCTTCAAAAGGGATGTGACCAGCCTGGAAAGGGTTCAGAGGAGGGCCACCCACTTGGTGAGAGGGCAGCAGGACAGGCCCTACAAGGAAAGACTGAAGGACCTGAACCTGTTCAGCCTCAACAAGAGGAGGCTGAGGGGGGACCTGGTGGCTGCCTACAAGCTCATCAAGGGGGATCAACACCAAATAGGAAGAGCCCTTTCTCCCCAGCACCACCTGGGGTGAGACAAGGAACAATGGTCATAAGCTGATGGAGAATAGGTTTAGGTTAGAGATCAGAAGGCAATATTTTACAGTTAGGGTGGCCAAAATCTGGAACCAGCTTCCCAGGGAAGTGGTCCTCACCCCTACCTTGGGCAAATTGAAGAGGAGGTTGGATGATCACCTGTCTGGGGTCTTATGAACCCAGCATTCATTCCTGCCTGTGGCAGGGGGTCAGGCTAGATGATCTGTTCAGGTCCCTCCTGACCCTAGCTACTATGAAACTATGAAACCTTGCCCCCAAGGGATATCAGGCAATTCCAGGTGCTGGGCACCACAACTCCAGAGTGCCCAGCAGCTGCAGTACCTCTCGGACCAGGTCACTGCTCCTGCTTAAGCCCTGGCAGACCTGCTCTCAGAATAGAGCTGCAAAGCTCAACAGGTGCCTGTACATGAGCGGGGAGGCTGCTCCGACACACTGTAGTTACAGCAAAGGATTAATCGAGTATGCTGGAGCATGGTAATTAACACACTCCAGCAGCCTCCTGCATCTCGTATATCAGCATCCCTACACTTACAAATGGCAATGGGGCCACTTGAACCAAAGCTCATTGAACATCTATACATATACATACGCACGCACACCCACACATACATCCATATATATACATATACGAATATTTTATACACACACACACACACACACACACACACACGTATATAGTGGTGTTTTATTTTAATCATGGAAAAATGTGGATGAAAATTGGGGATTTTTTTTTACATCAGAGCAAACCAGGATCCCTGGTAATAAGGCCCAGAGTGACTTAGATATCACCTGACAGAAAGCATTACCTGCCAAGCAGGTTTTTGCAATGGCACAGTACTTGGTAAAAGTACATATCAAGTTCCAGTTAACCAATCTGCAGATACTAGATCTGGAGACATTTTGCATTTTGCCCAGCTTGATACAATTCTATTATGAGACCACTAAATGGAATACCCAATAGGACAGTCTCTTAGCCGAGATCTCTGTACCCCTGGATCAAGTCACGGGGAAAAACAGCTTAGTTTTAGTTTAGTCCTATTTAATCAAGCCCATGCTCAGGCAACTAGGTGAGAAAAGACATTCCAGTCAGCCACTGGGAGACTGTGAACTGAAACACCATCCAGAGGTGCTTTAACTAAACTAATCTATACTGTAGGTCATTACCATTGAGTTCCAGATAGCTAGGAATGTTGATATGGCTGTTTTATAAGAGGGGAGGAGAAAGACCTTGCATTATACCACATCAAGAATCCTTAGTAGGGATGCCTCCATATCCTTCCTGTAGAAAATAAGAATATCCCTGGCAGGGGCTGAACATACCTGCTCTACCTCTAAGAGCCATCCAGCATGACTTACATGTGTCACTACCTTATTTGTGACTACCTTATTACTGTTATAAAAGTTCCTTAGTGTGTGAAGGGAAACAACTGTGCTGTCAACATTTGGCAGATCCTTCTATCATGCTAGAGGGGATTTGGAATCATTACACAAATTACTGTATAATGTGTTTAGATATTTATGGTCCAGACTCACTAAAAAATGTAATAGTATACAATATTATAATCAGACCTTAAAAGTACAACAAAGCTGCTAAAAAATTCCAAGGCTACTAAGAATCTCAGTTTAAAGAGTCTTACACCATGGCTAGGGAAGAAACATAGCATATTCATTGTTAGCAAAGCATCAGCCCTCTATTTAAAAATTAGTTCCCAAATGTCAAAGTGTCCTTAAGGCAAGTCATTACTCTTTGAAGGAAACATTTTATGTCTGCAGGTAACAGGATCAAACCACACATCAGTGTTCATTAAACATGTGTCCATGAAATAGAAAGCAAGAGACAAGGCAGAAAGTTGTTGTATGAATATTTTAAGAACTGTTTTCTCAGAAACTCTTAAGAAATATTTTCCTTTTCTGAAAACCTTAGTAAAGCACTTGAGATAGCAAGTGGTAGGTGAGAGGGGCTGCAGAAAAAGATACAAAATTGTTAGTTACACTATCATAGGTACTAAAAAAAAATACATAAATAAGCATCAGTTTTCCATATTAAAAATGATATCATCTTAACTAGGACCTTTAAGGAGAGTCCATAGTACTTTATAAGAGTCAAACTACATTAATTTTCTTTCATTTCCATTGAAATGTAATCCAAAATGTGATTCATAGCTACCTTCTACATGCACACATGAACACAGCCATTTATCAGCTTTGATTTCCTATTGTACAGCTGGACATAGCATTCCAAATCATAGCTTAAATTCTTTAGTCAAATCAAAAATTATATTGCCAATGTTTAGTCCCTGAGGTTTCTCCAGTGTCAAGGTGAAAGCAAGCTCCCTACCTCTCTTTTTTTGTTTTGCATATATTCTTTAAATGCAAAAGGAAAAAGTATACGGCAATTTTGCTAGTTTCCATTCCCAACAATTTAGGTTGTCTCCCTGTAGCATCTGTAGCTTATCAGATGCAATTTACAGTACAAGTAAGCCAGCTACCCAGTACATATTGAACTCTTTCAAATAGCAGGAAAAAAAATTATAAAATAAACTTACTCCAAATAATTTAAACTTTAGATGTAAATTTTTTTTTTAATTAAAAATTGATCAAACTCAGGTCCTAAAGCCTTGAAGACACATTACTTTTGTGGTAGTATATGTACCTTTATAGTGCAACAAAAAGAAAAAATGTTTATATATCCAGGCTAGCTGTAGCACTATAAAGATAACAGATCCAACACAAAATAGTGGTCCTGCAACAAAAAGACAGCTCTATCAAATATTTCCCCCATGATAACAGTCAAAAAGGCTGCCTCCAGCTGATGCTGGTGGCTACCTCAATGACAGTCATGTGGGGGTAAAGGGAACAAAGAAGCAATCCCTTATCAGTTTTTGGCTGGGAGGATACCTTTGAAGCCAATTTATAGCAATCTAGCCAAAGAGACTGTGTATATGTGTACAGCTCCATACTGCCTAATTTTTGTTCTGCTATGCATAAACATAAGCCCAAGGTCCAGCTTTTTTTTTTTTTTTTTTTTTTTTAAAGAAAGTTGTGTTGATCAACACTGGTAATAAAACATCAGGGTCTAAGTTGTCCAGTGGTATATCCAACAGAGTTAGACTATATGCAATAAAACGAAGATGCAAAAACTGAATTTGCTTTACTTCCTTCTCTGAAACAGGCTCACACATACAGTAAGATCTTATATTGTTCGTGTGTATAGGAAGTTTCCAATTATACCTCTTGCAACTGCAAAGACATATGTCCCAGTTGGTTTTGGCGGCTTTCCACCAGCTGCCTTTCTGCGCGCATTTCTTGTTCTATCTCCTGGAGTCTTCTCTCTACCCGTTCTGACACCTTAAAAAAAAAAAAAAAAAGACCACCATTAGAATATTTGACCACTTACCAAAAATAACGTATAGGGAATCTTTTAGAGCATACATATGAGAAGTATGGTAA